TATGTCAATTATGACTAATGAGGAGGGGTCACCTAATATAGCCTATAGTATCTTTACGATCTAGCCAACAGACAGAAACCATTTGTGTTTTAGCAGACAGATGAGTTTACAATATAACAACCACAGCATTGAGCCAGTTAGCCTGCACCACACCCTAACAGTTAAATGAATAATCCAGCTTTTTTAAAAAATAAATTTATGAACATGCTTATAACTTATCCTAAGAACATTCTGAAATGTTTTCTTAAAAGGTTTTTGTGAATTCAGCCTCAGGAACCCTATTTAGAACCCCTATTTTCAAATAAGCATCTAAGTGCTACAAATTAAAGTAGTTGTCCCAAACACAATAAAGGCCTTTCATTGAGACGGGACATCAGCGCTCACTCTGGGTTGTAGCTATAATGAAAGATCTGAGTCTACATATGAAGATACTTTCCCTTTACTTTTCATGCTATGCATACATGTATGTAAATAGAGACTTATCCATACATAACACAATGGTAAGATGTTTTGCTTATGACAACAATGTCGGCAAACTACTGCTTTTAATTAAATGATTAAGTAGAAACCTGGGATCTTTTAAAGTACTGGTTTTTAGGTTGCTCTGAATGGAGTTTTGGTTATAGCTGGTCTCTTATTTATTCATTCTGGCAATGTGAAATCTGCATGCAACACTGTCTCTGTGGTTATGTGCCTTATTTTGAACTTGACTTCTGTCAAACATAACACCACAGCAGACAGAAGTGTGAAAATGCATCAATGCAGAGTGATGCAGTGATCTGAAGGTAGTGATTCAACTGCACTGACTCTACAATGTTACTCTATTATAATCAGTTATAATAATTTTTATTAAAGTCAATTCCATTTTTTGGCTAAATTTCCTATTGACTTAGACATTGAGTTAATGTCTTATTATGCCCTAAATTATTAAGCCATAAGCAAACATTTCAACTGAACAGATTTTTGCATATAGTTGTGGCAACTACTTGGGCTAAAACTCTGAGCACAACTTTGCAGAACTTCTTAGCTCTTCTTTGTTTATTTGCTGACAACCTAGAATGTATCACTACACAGTTGCTGTCAGAACAAAACCTAATATCTTTATTTTTGCCTTTTTGTACATAAATTTAACATGTCAGCCGTCACTTATACTATGCCAAAATTTTCAGTCAAAATGACTTAGAATGAAATGTCATTAACTTCCATTCAAAGTTAAGCACAGTTTTTCTCTCTCCTATAAAGTTACCATTTTGGAGATTCAAGGTTTTGTTCTGACAGCAACAACATGTTCTAAACACTAGCCTGAGTGATAACTGCTCTGAATACCTGGAAAAGGACCAGGTAGACAAGCTGTAGCATGCCATATTCCAGCGACAGTCACAGGTGAAATAAATCATGGCATTCTCTTCCTTCTTTCTTGATATTCGGCATCAACAACCACTCGAAGCCACGTGACTTTGTTCTGTACACTGTATAACCTAGAGATGCCTCTGCCTTGTCAGCGCTGATGTAACCAAAGTACAAAAACATCCACAAACATCTTCCACTTGTATATCCTATTCAAACATCCCAGTGCTTCCAGTGTGAACAATTAGTGGAAGCTGTAGAGTCAAAAGCAATTTGTGAAAGGGAGAAATCAAGGAGGAGTTTGGGATGCAGGCTGCTGGGGGTGTGTATAAATAACAGTGAAGAACTATTGTGCGACACAATATGTCATTGTTTGGGGCTGGCTGATCAGCACTGCTAAGATGACAGAACTCACTTGTGTGGTAATATGGCCCCTCGCTCGGCCATATATTTGTCACTCTGTTCCTCAGATTGGACTAAAACCACTCTGTTTTAGGTTCATTTACACTTTCACTCTTAAGGAAGAGAGTGTTCTGCCATTATAAGGTATAAAGTAGGGGTGATTCACTATACTGGGTCAAAGATTCTTCATTTTTATGAAATTTTAAATGTGAATGAAGAAAAATTATGCATGTATTGTTGGTGCACAGCCCACTAAAGAGACTAGAGCTGGGAATGGTGTAGTGTATAACATGAAAGCAGTGGAGTGGATTGTTGATCAGTGCTAGTAATTTATGAACTTTGGCATTCAGATAATGTGATGGTATTAGATGGCATAAATAACAGAATGTCAATTCTGTTGCAATGCACATTATCATATTTTTTAACAGTGATATCACGGTCACAATGCATTAATGTACCCCTAGAATAAGTAAGGCGCTTATCCATGGGTAAGCCTGGGCCTATCCAGACAGATGACAGGGCTACCCCAGTGCAGTCATTGTATTATGACCACAATTACACTCTCTGCATCAGTCCTGAATGTGTGAGGTACAGTCCAATTGACCAGTCTAAAGCTCTGCCTCATTTTCTCAGCCTTACAATCACCATTTAGCAACCGCTGCTATCCACCATTGCCTCAGTGGCTATTCACCACTGGCTATCCACCATTGCCTCGCCAAGCATTTAGTTATTTAGCAGCCCACAGTTATTTCCCATTGATTCTGAATTTGAAGCTCCATTTTATGGTCAAAAGACATGCCTAGAGATCTGTAAAAGTGAGATCCCCTTCCCACAGTACATTAGGCTGTTTTCTAACTAAAGTCAAAAGAAAAATTCAAAAATGTCAGGTAGTGCTAAAAATTTGCTTTGTCACTGTCATCAGTGGTCTGTTAATTTAGAACTTCTTCTTTTACAACGGCAAAAAAAGTGTCAAAGTGTCAAATCTTACATCTACTTCCACACAACAAGTCATGAAAAGCTAGACCTACATCAACATTTTTCATGCTTGCAATGGCAGTATGCTTAAGCCGAGGATGCTTGGTGATTTAGGTTAGCTCTTTAGGTTTGCTGTGTTTTGCTGTGTGTTTTTCTCATCTCAGCTGTCCTCAACTGAACTCAGTTATGTCATTATAGTGAAGGGTGTTGCAGTCTTGGTTGGATTAGGTAGGATGATGTTTGCACTGCTGTCAGCAATAGGCTATAGTGTGCATTTGAAAATGTTTCCTAAATACTACACACTACCTCTATCTACACCACTGTTTGATCACCAATGTTTGGTCTCCTCCTGGTCAAATGACATGTTTTGTTGATTTTCTGTTATCATATCATCTACAGAGAACACACTTCTCCATGTGCTGTGCAAAAGTTATAGCACATTTTATGTTTTATTTTTTGCACACTAAAATTTTGCCCAAAAATGAATATTTTAAATGCTCCCTGTAGAGGATGAGTTGATTTATTTTTAACAAAATCAACAAAAAATGTATTTTGTCTGGGGGTGTTCAAACTTTTGCATATGACTGTATCCACACTCCTGCCAACACACAAACACACACATAATGTCTACACTGCTGTTTGTAGGATATCTCAATCAAAACACAATTACAAACTACTAGTAGCACTCCATACAATTATCTAACCCATTTTAGAAAGTAAACAGTGCCGCATATTTACAGGAAATGGTGTGGTAAACAGCCGCTGTGAAACATTTTTGGTGTTCTAAAAATAGTGGCTTGAAACTGTGGAGATAATTTCTGAAAACACGCTTTCCTAAGTAAGGAGTGTCATCCCACTGGGGTTCACAGGAAGACAAACAGCGATAGCTTAAAGACTTCACAACATTGTCATCATATTTTGCCAATTACCTATCGTGTAAGAAGCTCTAAATGCACAAACAATAAAAAAATTATATATATCAAAAACAGCTTGGATGAGAAATTAAAGCTTTCCTTACAACACTTGCCTGTAAAACAAGGGTGTCTCAAAACCAATTCTAAGGAGTTTACCAAAAATATTGATACCTAACTTCGAGGTGTGACACGGAATCTGTCAAAACCGAACAAGTGTCATGTTGCGAAACTCTCCACAAAAAAACCCTCCAGGCAGTGTGCATCGAATTTGATGGCGGCTCAGCCACCATCATGTTTGATGTTTTAAAGCTCCATAGGCTGAAACAGTTAATGAGATTTACATTAAACATACAGGAATAAACAAAACCCTTCCACTCTGTAACTTCAACTGTAATATTTCAGCGCTTGTTTCACACATATATACACATAGATGCACACACACAAACACAGTGAACAAAACATGTCATGTTGTGACACGTCCAAAACAAGGCATTCAAACACATGACAGGAGACAAAGTTTCTCTCATGCCTCTCTGAGAGAAACATGTCAGTTCATTTCTTCTGGGCCCTTATCATTCGGGAAATACTGCAGTGACCATTGTGAGCGGTCATATCTCAGCAAGATCTGAAAACATTCCTCATCCCTCAGCTCCCATTCAGAGCTGTGGGAGAAATCCAGCCCACGTTCAGTACCAACAGAGTTACCAGGTCAACACAGCTAAATCTAGTTTTTCAGTGAACTCTCTCAGGTCAGGAACCAAAAAAGGCACATTGTCATCACAACAGGAGACAGCAGACTGATTTCAAAGTTTATTACAAGTTTATTAATTAGACAGTCTGACAAATAGTTTACAAACGCATATCTAATGAAAATAATTCAACTGAATATTAACCCACAAATTAACTCATTCAACACTAAAGGCAACTTGCTTATTAGCATATACACCACTAAACATGTACTGTGTTCTCACTAAACCCAGGTTAATTTATTAACTTTAGCTAAAAATAAATCACGGCTATCGTGCAATACAGTCTATTTAACAGCTAAATATATCATTTCGAATCACCTACATTAAATGAACTATTTCTAAACATTAATATGAGAAGCTGTGACTGTAACACAGTGAAACTACCACAGTGCTACCGTGAGAAAAACAGTTCAGATGAAGAGCAGGACTGTATCAGCGAACTTCACCAAAAGGACTCCTACAGGATCTGTTAGACTAATTTACGGTACCAAAACAGCTCCAACACTATTAGACCATTAGCAAAATCGCTCATTATGAAGGTTCCCGTTATCTGAGTTTTAACTGCTGTCATTTAAAACACAAACAGGTTATTAGACGTTACTCTTTTTCTTACCTTATTCTGTTACATTTTCAGTGTTGACGTTGTGAGGAGACTGAAATCCGTTTAGTACATACCGTTTCACGAGAAAAGAGTATTGAAGCGGCGGAGTGATTAGACAGAGAGACGGAGTGAGTGAGAGAGAGTGAGGAGTTCAGAGCGGAGAGCTGCTCAACTCTGAAAACTGACTGAGCTCTTAAAGGGAAGGGCGTGTAGGAGTCTGCCGACTGCGCCCCAGCACTCGCTAACAATCAACGGCTAATCTTATACTTAACCTCAAATTTATAGTTTTATAATCGATTATAGCAGGGCCTACTTTACTCTTTTACTATTTGTGAGTAGCAATTGGTACAGGTTATTACCTAACCCCCTGATTTTGAATAAAAGACGAATTATAGGCTATGACATAAAAGGGCAATTCCACCAATTTTTCAAAATGTGTGCATAATTAAATGCTTAATATGTAAATAACGTCGTTTAGAGGGTTTTGATTTGAAATGCTTCGTTCTAGAGAAGTTTACCAAGTGAGAATTGTTCACAGTGGTGGTGATAGGAACCAGACGTCTGAGGAGGTCACTGCCTCCAGAAGCTCTCTCACAGGAAGTTACTACATTATACGGTTACGAATATGTTGACATGTTACTTAAGTTTTGATTGAAGGATTTGGCCTAAAACATATATTTTTAAAAGGCGTTCATGGTGGAGGGGTAGATGTAGGGCGTTGTAAGGCAAAATAGTACCCAAAGAAAATGTCTTTTTCCAGCTTTAGCACTATTTTACAATGATCAACATCATATATAAAAAAAGATCTATGCAGGGTTTGCTTGTTGTTTTGGATAGTGAATAAAATGGCATTTTTTGCGAGCAAGTTTCTCTACAATGCATCATTTCACATTGTACTGTGAATGCTTTCAATCTCAATGACTGAATTATACAGAAATTTTGAAAAATCTGTGGAATTCCCCTTTAAGATATCTAAGGCTGCGTCCAAAAACAAATACTTCTATACTATAAAATAGGGTGGGCAGTATGATGATATATGTCAGTGTGATAAATTATATCACATTGTGTCATCTGTGGATATCAGTGCTAAAAAAGCACTGACCACTCTGAACAAACATCGTTTTGAATCAGACACTATTTATTTATTTTGTCTGTCCCAACTTATCAAACCTCAGAAAAACTAATCATTGTGTCACTTATCATGTATTATAAATGCCTTGAAATATTGCAAGGCTATATTTTTGCCATGTTGCTTCTTTTATATACATTCTATAATAAAGAAAGCACTGCTAATGATGGTGCACTGTTTCAAACATACTATCTAGTTTGCTGGTATAGAGTTTTGGATGCAGGACAAGATTGTTCTGGAGAAGTAGGTGTTTATGGCAAAGTCCTGCTTAAGTATAAACACACATCCACTTGGACATGCACAATCTCTTATGTGAATTTAAGGGTATTAATTTCCATATGGTGTTGCAAATAATTCCAAATATACAAGCATACAAGACAATAACATTCTAGACAATAGGAAGTAAATTTTATTTACACTCATAGTGTTGATGGAGAAAATTATGAATGCTGCAGAAGTCGTAGGACTATGGTGTGAGAAATCAAGAGGGGCTTGTGCTTGTGCAGTTTCCTTCCTCACAGAACAATCTGACTGATGTAGGCAGGAACTGCTTCAAATGGGAAGCAGGAAATGTCTGAGACAATAGAGATTTTGAGGAGTGGCCGCCAGCTGTAGGATTTGGATGAAAAAGACTGTGGGCAGGCATAAGCCTCCCTTTATGCCCAATGGAGGAGAAAGGAAAAGCGAATTCCCTCAGCACTCTTTTAAAAAAGCAGTAAAAATAGTAATATTTGAATTAGCTGTATTTAATAAAGAGAAGAACCTGTTTTTCATGCAAATCAAAAATGCTCATTTCATCAAGATGCCTCAAAGTGTCCAGATCAGATGAGCTCAGCACAAGAGCTTTACCAAGGATCATACCATAAGTGACAGTGCTACATGCAAAAAACGGTCCCGTGCAAAAGAAATGCATTGAACATTTGTCCAAGCATGTTTGACTGAGCTCTGCAGAGAATGATTTGCCCTGATGTGTGATTTTTGTAGAAAACAGCCATGCTCCACCTTCATATTACAATGTCATACATGCACAAAAACATTCCCAGAAATACAAGATAAAACTGTTTATTCTTAATGTGATGGTGGGAAATTACAGCACAAAGTGATCCAGTCTCAAAGAGCTGAAAGCACACATACTGTAACAGGAAAACAGTGAAAAGCACTATTTTTACCATTTTTATCTCCTGAGATCTTGTTGTAAGGTATGGGTTTGATGCAAATATTAAGCTAATGAAGTGGAAATCCCTGCAGCTAGCCACAGAGTTCTGTATAACTCTCACTTCTCTTTGTTAGAGAACCCTGGAACGAAGACTGCTGGTCACCTAGAAGAGGTAAAAACTGGAAAAATGACACTTGAATGAGATAGTTTTCAAGTAGCATAATGCCTGAAAAAAGATGGAGATCACTTGATGCACAAGCAATGAATTACACTAGAGTCACAGCAGTTTAAAGCAATAATTTGGCAAAAAATCAAATGTACACAATTACCTCCAATATAGTCAATCAACAAAGACAAATTTGGTGTTTGAATTTTGCGTTTTAGATTTGCATTGGAGCTACAAAGCTAATGTAGATAATAAGTAATTAAAGCTTATAACCTACATATTACAGCTGTACAAACCACATGCCACAGTCCTGTCTTGAAAGAGCGACCACATCTAAGGTAGGAGGAAAATGTGTACATTTGATTTTTCGCTAAACAATCACTTTAACTGAGAGGCTTTTCAAGGGTAACTCAAAGACATAACTCTAACCTAAAACAATGTGCTGAAGTGTTTATGTATAAATGCGTAAGTGTAAATGCTGAATTCAACCACCAAACTTAGTTGTGATATGTGCAATGTGATGTTAAAGGTCCAGCATCCTGCTAAATCTGGCTTCACAATCATTATTGTCAAAAATATATGGAAACTTTGAAACATTGCATTGTTAAGGTCATCAGTAATGCAAATGCAAAGAATGCATAAGGTGCAACTGACAACTAATAACTGGGTCACATTCAGCAGAAGTACCTGTGTATATCTATCCACACTCACATTCACACATACACACTCGGACACGCTCATGTAAATGCACAAAGTCTGCAGGCTTAGGTCTCCTCATCATCGCTGTTGTGTTGGGACTTCTCTTCACTCAGGCCGCTCTCGTCAATGTTCTCCAGCGAGTCAGCTCTCTGCACGGTGAGGTCAGCCACGTTGATGCAGGGGAGAGTGTTCTGCTCCGGGTACATCCACGGCTTCAGGTTAGGGTTGTGTTTCCGCTTCCACTCTGGGTATTTTACACAAGCCTTGTAGATCTTCCTCATGGCCTATGAAGGACAGCAGATCCATGTAAGTCATAGACATGGGGTTACTGTTTTAACCCTTTTAAAATCCCAGGCTTATTACATACTGAGGCTTATGATTCAGTAACTACAGGGACTACAATAAAAAAAAACTGATCAAGCTTTTCTCACGTTATAAAAGTGTGTAACAAAACACCAGTGGGCCCTGGCCTTTTAAGGGGTTAATCAGAACATTGTTGCGTGTTTATTTATGTTTATGCTTTAAGTCTTTACTAAGGGGAATTCCACTGATTTTCCAATATTTCTGCATAATTCAATCATTGAGATGTAAGCAGAGTCATTCAGAGAGGCTATATGTGGAATAGTACACAGCAGAGAAACTATCTAATTTAGAATTCTTTACAGTGGTGGAGATCAGAACGAGAGGATGCAAAGTCTACAATGCAATTATTGGCACTGTTTCATCCAAAACAAATACTTAACCTACACATATCTTCAGATTTTTTATATGCAATGTTGATGATTGTTAAAAATGTAAATATGAAAAAATAAGTTTCCTTTGGGGACGATTTTGCCTTACAGCACCATTCTGTGTACCCCTCCGCCCTCCATCTATTTAAAAAATATGTTAGCTTATCTCAAAACATTCATAAAAACAATGTCTCAGGTATCATTTGAAACTATTTAGTGCACTAGCTTTATGTGAGATAGCTTTTAGAAGAATTAAATGCTGCTTTCTATCACCATCACTGTGAACAATTCTGACTCCATATGTTTCTCTAGAATTGAGCATTTCACATCAAACCACTCTGAATGAGTTTGTTGATATTGATTGAAATACGCACAAATTCTAGAAAATCAGAGGAATTCCCCTTTAAATCATGTCTTATCAAGTACCAACTAACCAATGCGTGCATCACTTTAACATGAGGATAACGTTCATAACTAATAAATAAACTTGCTGCCATGAAAACTTGACTTTTTGCATTCCATGGAAAAAATATCTGGTACAGAACACAACACTGTGTGTTGAAAACAAAGTTGAGCTGAATAAAACTGAATACGTGTAGTAACTGTTTGTTTATTTGTTTATACTTATATTAAGTAAATTATATTAAGTATACTTATATTAAGTATATACTTAGTGTTTTAGCTTAGTTAACCAAAAATTCAGGTATGTTTTTGGTGTTTTTGTGCTATCTGTGTGGTTTATATTGCTTTCTCTAAAACATACACTGCTTAGAGGGAGGTGTAAACATTTAGAAGATACTAAGCTCAGTGTAAAGACTGGAACACTGGTACAACTCATTTTGATATAGTAATCCATAAAGCTGAATTTAGTAAACAATTAGGTCATAACAGACATACATTTGAACTTACGTACAGCTGGTTCAAATAGCACTAGATCAAAACTTCAGCCTTTGTGGTTTTAGTGTAAACAAGGAATAAGCAAAAGCACTGGGGCCACATTCCCAGAGTAAGATTAAGCCCAACCAAGACCAAGTAGTGATTGACTATAAATGAATATATTGATTTTTATGACAACAAAAAAAAAAAACAGTGAATTCAAAATGGGCTGTTTTTGCAGCTTCGTTTCATTAGTTTTGCTGCTTAGTTTTGACTGGGAGTAAAACAATTTGCTTTGAAACTTTAACAGTTCTTACATACTAAAATTGCTTTTATTTCAAAAAGGTAGAAAAAATACTTTATTTACTTTACTAATGTACTTAACTAAGGTACTTTAAAGTACTTAATACTTTCAGAAGTATGGGCCCTTTAGCGGAGAAAAATTGGACTGGCCAATAATCAAGGTTTCAGTTTCAGTATCAAAAAAGAAACAATGGTCTTGTGCCATCTCTACTTCTAATCTCATCTGTGTTTAATAGAGGAATCCTGATAGCTCTACATTACATGTTAGTGTCATAAGGTTTATTAAATTATCCATATTAGTTACTGGATAAGTGATTAATGACTTAGAAATACACACAGACTTCAAGGGATCAAGGCAAATCGATTAAGACAGTGCCTCCCAACACTGGTCCTGGAGTGCCCTTCACATTTTAGTCTATTCACTGCTCTAAGCACACCTGATCCAACTAACCAGTGGATAAAAAAGGCTTTCCTGAGCTGAAGTGTGTGTAGTTATTCAGGGAAATACTAAAATGTACAGAACAGTGTGTACGCCAGACTTGGGAACCTATGCCTTAAGAAAAATACAAGAATTTCCAAGGAAGCAATTGTTGTTGCTATCTATGACCACCAGATAGCAGCAGAGGTCCACTGCGGCCTGAACAGAAACCTCATTTCTGAAAAGTTGAACTGCAGATGAGACCTACAGTTCTCATAGAAAGATATGTTTATATAGTGGCAGATTCCACATTACATATCACTTTAGTTGCCTATTTGTTTTTGAAGTCGGGGTGGGCAATATGATGATATACATTACTAACATGATATATTACATCACCAGTAGTTATAGTTTATATTAGTTTATATTAATATAGTTTTATTACAAAGACAGTGTAATTAGCCCTGTATAATTGGATTTAGTCAAGTAGTGCAGCATGTGAAATGCTGAATAAAAATCATTATGTTGAGTTTTTAATATCAATTTTAAAATGTGGCACTGCTGGCATTTTTTTGTTCTAACTTATCAAATTCCAGAAAAACTAAATAACATGTATCGGGACAATATCTTGAAGTATTGTGATGTTATAATTTTGATTATTGTATAACATTTATACCATACCAAGTGTTATACCATAATCCTCTTTGAGCACACTATTAAGCAAATATGTATAGTCTTACCTTGGGTGCCACGAACTGAGAGACCCTATTCACTACCCATTTGGGTAAAGAACCTGTTAGAGAAATCAAAAAAGATCACTAGTTTTACCAAACACAGAATTCCACAGAGACATTTCAACTAATGGGACATTAACATATGTCTATGTACTTTAGCTTGAGGCCTTGGTCAGCATGGAAGCAGGAAAGTTCAAAGAGTACAGGAGGTAAAGTCTGGTTTCAACCAACACTACTGACACAATCACTCCTCTGAGTATTATGCAAGCTGTAGTTTTGTCTCTGTTATCATGGAAAAGACCCGAGCCTACTGTGCAAATGCGCTTAAACTAAAATCTGGAGATTGTCCCACCGGCTACAAACAGCTGTCAGGACACAGCAGCGGAAGACATTAATTATCAGCTTGGAGCAGAAAGGATGACATCAGCAGACTCATAATGAGCTGGAGTTTATCATTAGGTATCTGTCCACTGACTCCAAAGAAGAGAAGGAGGACTGAATGCAAAAAAAAAAAGAACTCACATGGTAACCAGGCTATACCAGGAAAAGCAACTGCAACATATGCATACTATATATCTAAAAGACAAGTGTTTTAAAAGGAATCATTGTACCAAAGTGGTATTACACTTTGACTTATAGGGTATGCAATGCATTTGTTGTGTATACAGGGCAATATTTCTACATGGCTGGAGCCTTAAACACTCTAAGTCTTGTGTAAACAGGCAAATGTACACTCCCTCAACTTAAACGAACATTTATGCACTTTTCCCCTGCAAATGAGGAGTGGCCCAACATCATCTAAATGCTGCTGCAACTTCAACAAATTAACCCTTTAAACTACAATGGCAAGTACAGTCATATGCAAAAGTTTGGGTGCCCCTGGTCACTTTGCATGTTTGGTTGATTTTCTAATTGAAAATAGGTTAACACATCCTCTACAGAGAACACACTTCTTTACAGTTTAGAGCATGTTTAATCTTTATTTATTGAATTTAACTTATTGGGAAAAACTCAAACATAAAATGTGGCCTGTCACAAAGTTACGGCTAGCCTGCATTGTGCCTCATTCAAGAAGTAGTCCTCCCTGGCAAGCAGAAATTGTGCACTAAAATTAGCAGAAAATGCCATATTTGAGTGTGTTCTCTGTAGAGGATGTGTTAACTTATTTTCAATCAGAAAATCAACAAAATATGTCATCTGACCAGTGGTGTTCAAAATTTTATGACGACTGTATGTAGGCCCACACTGCTACTGGTCACTCTACTTAATGACACAATTAACATATTAGTTATCATTAGGGATACATGATGATAATGGAATATCTATTAATTATTATAGATATCAGCAGAGAACTGCATGAAATATCAGCATCAGGCACGTTTGCATTTATTTATTGTACTCCAGAAGAGTTTAAGCAATACTGGATTAATGCATTTTATAAATTCTACTGCATTTCTAACCCTGCATAAATAAAAGTTATATTTCTCCATAATGCTAATTCAGGCAGATGAAGCCCTGACTTCTATATTTTAGAAAAGTTTATGTAACACCTTTAGCGGATATGTAAAATCAAATAAAAAAATATCACATAGAATTTTGTGCAAAACAAAGTCATTGAGATGTAAATAATGTCATGCAGAGTGGTCTGATGTGAAATGGTTAAGTTGTAGAAAAACTTACTGACTCAGATTTCTGTACAATGATGATGACAGGAACCAGCTGTCACAATGTCTATTGTAGCCATAACTCAAATATAGACATTTTATTTGCTATCGAAAAAAATGACCAGTGAACCTACATGTGTCTTCTGAGTTTTATATGTAATGTTGATAATGGTAAATCTGAAAAAAAGTTCTTTCTGCACTACTTTGCCTTATGCACTATATGTTCCTCTCTACCATGAGTGGATTTTAAAAATGCGTTTTAGGCCAAAACCTTCTCTTAGATCTGTTGGTAAACACTGTTTCAGACATCACACAGTGTATTTGGAATCATTTTGTGTAATAACTTTCTGTGAGGTAGCTTTTAGAGGCATTCAGATGTCTGGTTCCTATCACCACCATTGTGAACAATTCTGACTGTAGTTTATCTAGAATGGAGCATTTCGCATCAAATCACTCTGAATGAGTTTGTGTACATCTTAACATCTTACATCTTAGAAGTTTGAAAAATCAATGGAATTCTCCTTTAAGATTAACGACTGAATAATAAGACTACAGTTTAAGGAAAAAGTAAATGAAAAAAGCTCACCTCTTGGATCTACTTGTGTTAAGTAGTAAAGGGTGCAGCAGTTTGGTCCATTGGACTGGATCAAGTAGCCAGTGAGTAAAGACACAGCTCGGACATAGTCTTTCTTTGGAGGGTATTGCTGAAAAGAATTGACAGTAAATTGTTCAATAAAAATAAAAATAATGAAACACAGTTGTTAAACTCTAATCATTACTAGCTAACATCCACACACGTTTTACTACAACAGAGATGATGCAGATTCTTCTGTTTGTGTTACACTGATTACTTATTTCATTACTGTGACAAAACCACAGAAAATACATTCCCAGGACGCTAGACGTAATTATTCATTACAACATGGGGATCAAATCGCCTGGCCACTTACTCGATAGCTCAGTCAGACTTTTCCCACTGACCCATGCTTCTTCAGTTTCAGCCTTCTTTAGGCCAAGACAGCTGTCCTACATGCCAACTTACACAATACACAGTACTGTATTTCTGGCTCAGCCAAAGTGTCTCATAAAACTAGAACATCTGCACCGCTCTCAGCCCAGATTGAGCACAGACATACCGGGTGTTTGACCGAGTAGTTGATTATCAAGTAGTCATTGCCAAGGGGAAGCCATGAGCGCATAGTGACAAAGTCTCTGTTCTTCAGTGGACTCGGGCATTTCCCTTTGAACACAAAGGACATGATTTAGAGTTATAATGAGAGATCACATTAAAGCATTGTTTTATGTGGCTCCAGCCCTCATCTGCAAAATAGATTACCTAGTGACCTGCACTATTTATCACAAAATAACCTGCATCTTGATTCTGATTATATCTTTTCAGTGATAACATATTGTGTGCAAACTTCTATACAACTGAATCTCCTTTAAATGTTGATTTCAAAATTCTTTTCATGTAGCTTAACCAATTTTACCATACAACTGAATATTCACAAGTTTATCTTTATAATTAACTCCTTAAAATGCAAGCCTATTAATCTTATAATCCAATAACTACTATATTCAAAAATGAATGTGACACATGTCAATTATGTAATTAAAGGAAATTTTTCCAAAATTCTGCATAATTAAATTGTTAAGACATAAACAGTCATTCAGAGTGGTTCGATGTGAAATGCACCATTCGAAAGAAACTTCACTGCAGTGGTGATAGGAACCAGATGCCTGACGTGTTTAATCACCTACACTAAAAGATGCCTGAGACAATGTTTTCCAAAGGTTTTGAGATAATGTTTTGGCCTAAAATGTTTTTTTATCCATTCATTGTGCAGAGGTACACAAGGGAGTCGTAAGGCAAAACAGTACCCAAAGAAAACTTTTTTTTTCAAATTTACCACTATTTTAGCATTATCAACATTTTGATAGCAAATGAAATGGCTATATTTTGAAAGTATATAAAATGTCCAAATTAGTGTTGTAGACAATGTAATCCCTTGGTTCCTATAACCACACATTTAAAGAAAATATGAATCAATAAGTGTCCCCACAATGCACCATTTCACATCAAACCGCTCTGAATGACTGAATGTTGAATGTTCTAAATGAACATTTAAATTATGCAGAATTCTTGAAAATATAATGGAATTCAGCTTTAACAGATAGAGGAACTGAAGTGCAGGCCACATACAAGCCATTACCATTTAAGAGGAGGTTAATTTCATGGACCTATTTTGAATGTTGAAATTACCCGTTACACACCTCTCACATTACTGATTCCATCTGTAACACAACTCAGTAGCCTTTGGATGGTCTACAGCTTATGCTCTATGAATTAGACTAAGCACAACACAGTTACAGAGAGCACTGTGTGTATAAGAGAGACTTTGGCAATAAACTGTCTATTGATTGTACTCGTGGCAACTGAATTGCACAATTATTTGTGACCACAAACTCTGTGTGTTCCAAATGCAGTCTGTCGTCCACCCCTTTCCTCTAGTCCATGTTAAATTGATTTAGTCATGTATTTCTAAGCTACTTTAGAGACAAATAAGGATTTAGAGCAGAGTAAAGAGAATAGTGAATACTGCAGTGACTCACAAGAATAATATCCAACATCTGCGTTGACTGTCAGTCTCCCAATATCAAATGTGTCAATCATGTTGGTGTCCCATTTCTTCCGGTAGCTTGTGTCATGCAAGACATCATACAGCGTTTCGGCTCGGACATCCTTGCACACAATTCTCATCTACAAATAAAAGAGGAAAATGTTTTTATATGTTTCACTGAAAATTCCAGCACCTTCTCTTCTGTCTGTTATGCCAGAATGAAAATAGTTAATTGTAACTCCAGGTCCAACCCACACACCATAGAAATAAACTGCTGCTGTTTAAGCACTTGTTTTACTGTACGATCTAGGCATGTCACGGGACAAGACTTTGCATATGTTAATGCACAGTGGGGTTGAAAGTTCTCAGGTAAAAGCGTGCCAAGTGAAACCTGTGTTTTTTTCCACTCTAAACTTACCCACTCTTATTCCTTAACCCTGCCTCTATAGGTCTGTCGGTCACATAATACTTGAGAACATCAAGTGATATGTGATCAGATATTGTATGGGCCTGGAAGGCAAGCAACCATGTAACCCAATCGACTCTACCCCTGACGTAAAGTAAATAATTCATTCAACACCCTCTGTCCAACCCCAGGGTGAACAGGCCTTCCCCATTTCCAGTGGCTTCCAGAGCAAGCTCTATTCGGTCTCTATGAATGGAATGTCGTCAAAGCCTGCAAAAACTCAATTATTCATGGCAAGCAGCGCATCGGCGCCCCAGAAAGTTGCATGAATTATTAACAAAGGTCTATCATCTTTAATTTTTTTGCTTCTTTTGGCTGTACTGTCTAAATAAATTTCCCACTCAACCACAGCCCCAGTAAAAGGTCTCTCATCCATGACTGTTCTCACAGCAGTGACCTTTGGGCACCAGCAGAGAGGTCAGCATCCGTCTATGTCAAAAAAAAGTCTGACTCTGGCAAGTCAGCAGGAGGGACTCAGGTTTCCTCATCTGAGCATTTGAGCCTGTCGCTACCATGCTTTTCCGCTCTTAATTTTTCAGCGCGTCTCATGGGTATGGCCTAGCTCTGAGAGACGAGCCTTTCATCTCTGATACTGTGGCACATCAAGCTACCATGGTCAGGCATGACCTGCTTCCATGTACACAGTGAGCTTCTCTGAGCCCTCGTTAATGGACCATATGCACATTCATGTTTGCTTCTCTAAGGTTTGTTTCTCTAAGGTTTTTCTGAAAGGAAACTGTTCTGGAAGGCTGCTGTGGGAACGTTCTGTCTTAAATACACTATCAAACACATGTATAAAGATGGGACCTACAAAAAGGCCAATGATACTGCCCTTGACAACCTCATTAAGACGCCTCATTAAAATGCTACCGTGAAGACACAGGACACGGTCCCTGCCCTGGAAAGTCAAATCAGGGCCTTTTTGTGCTTGCATTAGTTAGATTGTTGAATTATAATGGCTGCTCTCACATACACAACAGCTGCAGAACTTTTTTTTGGCGTGTACAGTGAGTCTTTTGGACAGTCTTCATTCAACTCGTTTAACTTCCTAAATAGAAAGAAATGTATTCTTGATCTCAAATCCAGATTTGGGCAATTATCAACTCTAGCATCTCTGGTATCTCTTTGTATCTGCGGCAAAACACTTAATTGGTTCCGCTCTTACCTACAAAACTGTTCCTCTCAAGTTTCCTGTACAGCATCCAACTCATCTTCTCAATATTTTACAACTGGCGTACCACAAAGCTCAGAACTGGGCCCTCTATTGTTTTTCCAAAGTCTTTAGGACCAGTCATTAATTATCACGTGTTCTCGTGCCACTGACACCTAACTCTTCTTGTTATTTCCTCCACAGCCACAAATCACCCTCTGCAACAATACATCAAACTAAACCTGAATAAGGCTCCTTTACTCCTGGTTAGGAGCTGGCCTGAAAACAAGATGCAATGTTTAGCTGTAGTAGGAGCTGGCCTGGGTCCAAAGCATATATCCTGGATCCTTTAAGAGACTATGTTAACACTCTTCCTGGTTTTCTTCGTGAGAATACGAGAAACTCTCCATTTTAACACATTTAAAAATGTTAAATTAGCAAGTCATTTCAGTGCCATATTCAGAGTGAGGCATATTCTGGAGTATACCGCACTAAGAGTGTGGGGTTTGCAGAGGACTATAAAGTGCACAGCAAGCTGGATTGGTTATAGTAGCACTTAACTGCAGGGGGAGGGCCGTGGGAATTCACTGCACTCGAGATATTTCTGCCTCTTCACATAGTAGTGTGAAATTGACTACTCATATACTGTCACAGTGCCCACATCCTTCTCTCTCTGTGAGCTTATAAATATTTAAATCCACATCATTTAATCATTTATTAAGTGACTTAGAGCAGTGCCATGTAATATGAAGCAGCATCTTTTATTTAATTCATATATTTATATGATATATTTATTTATATATATATATATATATATATATATATATATATATATATATATATATAGAACCAGACTGTGACCATAAGAATGAGCTTTAATTTTAGGGATGTCTGAATTAAAACCAGAAGTTCTACAGCAAAACAACTAACTATTCCTCCAGTATCACTACCGGCACTTAGTTCAGTAGCATCTTGTACCGAAGCTTTAATTTTGATTTTGTAGCTATAGAATGTAAAATACAAATATGTCTAAAAATCTCTAAAATATAATGTATTCTCTCTCACTCTCTTCATTAACCCTTTCAGCCCAGCTAGGCTACGTGTCCAGTAGCCTCCGCAGTGCAGCTATGCTAGCCTACTGAAGCCTCATTCACTTGCCTTCAGTTTCTGCACTGTGTTGGTGTCCTCGTCTCTACACCAGACCGTCACTCCTCCTTTGTTGTACCGTGCTATCCATCCTTCCTGGCTTTCGCACTGCTCCTTGAAAGAGGCGAAATCGGTGTCGTCCGGAATCTGGACCGGCATGCTGCCTCAGAGTGCCGTGAGAAAAAACCCGGTCACAGCAGCAGAAGGTCCCTCTCTCATAAACCGGTCCGCTCAAACGTCTTGCTGGGGGCTGTTTAGAAAACAGACCGCTGCCAGTTCCTGTGTTTGTGTTTCAAGTGGAAAACTCTCCTGAGTTACCTGTGTCAGCAGGCGAATTCGTGTTTTAGTACTCAGACAGCCTGAAGTTCACACTAGCCGCTCTGGCAGGTAGAGGCTAACAGGGAGCAGGTGTGCTTTAGCATCCGTGGCTGACGCTCTGCGTTTTAAAGGGGCGGCATCACGTTACCGACATGCCGTTTTTCAGGTGGGACAGTCCACACGGGCTCATTTAGTCAGACTGACTGATGATCCCAGGATCAGGTGTCATGTTTGTCTATTCAACAGCATGATTTGTTTAGCTTGGGTGGGGTGGAACATGTCAGCTGTTCTCTTATTTCATCATAGTGGTCTCTGTTCCTGTTCTACCACCTTTACATCCTCCCAGTCTGAAAAGTATGGAAACCCATTTGAAAAAGCCCACGCAGTATGTCATAACAATTACTTAGTGTCTAATAATAATGAGAAAGTTTCTCATATTAATAACTTAGTATCTCATAATAACGGCTATCCTATAAAAATGACTAATGTCTCATAATAATGAATATGAGATGTTAAATTATTATGAGATGCTAAGTCATTATTGTGAAACACTTAGTCATAATTAACCTTTCTCATTATTGAGACACTAAGTCGTAAATATGGGATACTAAGTCATAATTATGACTTGCAAAGTCAGAGTTATTATATACTAAGTCATACTTATGACAGTCATAGTTATGAGATAGCAAGTTGTGAGTATGATATACCAATCATAATTATGAGATAGAATCTCCCTATGAGGTCGTAAGTCATAATTATGGTATACTAAGTCATAATTATGAGATAATGAGCCATAATTATGAAACGAGTCTCATTATCATGAGATATTAAGTCATATGAGATTAAAAATTTTGAGATAGAACCTTATTATTGTAAGATAGAATCCAATTATTATGAAATAGTAAGTCAAGTCATAATCACAAGTTATTATCTTATTATTATGACTAATTAAGTCATAAATAATTATGACATTTATCATTTTTAAATGGGAAATCATTATGAGATGTAAACTCCTTAATATGAGATAGCAAGTCATAATTATGAGATGCTTTGTCATAATTATGAGATACTAAGTCATAAGTGTGGGAAGCTATCTTATTCTTATGACTCACTAAATGGCTTTTTTTTTTTCAAATAGTGAAAATGTGCTTTCGTAGAAAAGCCTGCTTCAGCTGATTTCTGGCAGTTTTGAAGCTTAATGCAGGTGCACACAGGCTAATAATTTGTCTCTCTGTGAGAAGGCAGAGGGCAAGCAAACCAAGGAATTGATTAGGGCTGCTGGCCAGCAGACGTCAAGATGAGAATATTCTCAGGCTTTGTTAGCAGATGAAGTGTCGCTAATGTTAACATACTTTTAACAACCTATGAACACAAACAACGTCTATTATCTCTTTTTCTAAAAGGCTGCAGTAGTCCTTTTAGGTATCATGGCAATAATGTCATAGCACAGTTCTTGCCACTACTTAATTAACATTCACATGTCCACTTTTCCATCAACCTCTTCCAGCTTCTTGATACTTGAACCCTGCATTCTGATTGGTTAGCTAAACCCCACATTCTGATTAGCTACTTGAACCTGCAATCTAGTTGGATTTTTAATTCCCACATTCTGACTGGCTAACCGAATTCTGAACAGCTCCTTGAATCCTTGCAGTCTCATTGGCTACTTTAACCCTGCATTCTAATTGGCTACATTAAATCCACTTGAACCCTTGAACCCTGCCTTATGATTGGTTTGCTGATTCCTGCATACTGATTAGATACTTGAATCCTGCAATCTGATTTGCTACTTAAATTCAACAGTCTGATTGGCTACTTGAGAGGATTTATTTCATTTTTCTGACCCTGGAGGAAACCCGTACAGACTGTGCAAACTTACCCAGTGCAGGACTACTTGCGATCCCTGTACTGAGAGGCAAACAACCTAACCACTGCACCACTCTGCTGAGGGTATCCTACCAAGTAGTCATCACTGCAGAACAAAAGCCCAAAGGGTGGAGTTTAAACTTAATCTAGATCCTCCCATCGTGCTCCCATTAGTCCTCAGGTGGAATCTTGCCTCTCCTGTGTTATCAGATTTTCTTGTATTATATATTCTTGTATTCTTGTATGACTTTAAAAAAGAAAAAGTTGCAGTCTTGGGGAGTTGGTACTGCACCTACTACTGGACATTCTGCTCTGGGGATAACTGAAAGACAAGGCTGATTCAGAAATGTAGCATAGGGAACAATGACCTGTTCCATGTGGATGTGGAAAAATGGTAATAGAATAGAAGAGTATGTCAGAATATTTGTCTGAATTTGGCCTCAGGGGACTACTTTCATAAAATCTGGAATGTCTCATAATAGTAAATTCAATTGGAATATGTGAGAAATTGCTTTTTCAGGCTAGATTCCTTTGGATCCCATGTTAAAATGACTGATTGGGCTGATATCTTCAGTTTAGTACTTGAATTGCACACATAGTGAATCACTATGAACACCATAATAATTAGCTTTGAGTGACTGTACAAAGAATGTACAAATGCTTTGATTGTAGCACATTATTAAAGATATATTGTTTTATAGATTTAACAGATACTGGCACACACTAACTCTGCAGCTGTAAAACTCTTGTCCCTGGTAAAAAATTTTATATGAATATTTGATTACATAGAATGACTGAACCAGGCATGATTCTATTACTGTCCTGCCAGTTACAACATGTCCAAAAGTTTGAAAACATCTGCTCACCAACATGTCTTTGCTGCAGTATCTGGGAAGGCTTCTAAATGTTAGAATATTGCTCTGTGGATTTGATTGCATTCAGCCACAAGAGCATTAGTGAGGTTACATACTGATGTTGGATGATTAGTTCTGGATCACAAATGCCACTCCACCTCATCCCAAAGGTATTAGATGGAGCTCTAACACTCCAGATAACACAGTTCCACTGCTTTACAGCCAAGTGCTGAGGGGTCCAAGGACTCATCACACTTTCCACAGAATTAACGTAATCCTTGAGATGCAAAACACCAGCACTTTTTTATTCAGATTTGTGTTGAGATGTTTACATAATGGCATTTGTATTATGAGAAACATGTTTTTATTCTAGGTCTCCAACCAGCTGATTTACAATGCACTTCTAGCATCTTGAACCTGGGCACAACATAATAATTAACTTCATCTCCATGCCTTGAGGCAATGGCATGTCAGTGAACCATTCCCTTAAGAAATTACTCAGGAATCTGAAGAAGGCTGTTAGATCTAGCATTTGACATTTTTGAATTAGTTAATTATGAATATGGATTCATGGCAAAAGTGAAATGTTTCCCTCTGAGAACAAAACTTTGTTTGGAAGCCAAAGGCTGCTTGCATCAGTCTCTGACCATGCACATTATATTGTAGCCAGCAGTCAGTCTTGGAAGGTCTCTGTGGCTTTTCTTTGGCCTCTCAACCTACTGGAATGTCTTGAAGTGGCCTCAGTATCCTCCACCATGTGATGGGAACATTAAAGTACACAGGCTTTCTTACTTTTCTATTCCTATTCCTTGATGTGGTCCAGTTACACTGCAGGATGGAGCATACCAGAGATACAAAATACCAGAGCATACCAGAGATGTGTTAAAAATTATATTCCAGATATGTCTTTTTTTCTTTTTTAGTAGAAATGTTGTAAAGCGTGAGGAGAGCTTCTTTTCTGTATGGTAAAATACTGAGAAACTGTCTCAACTGTGCAAAGTAACTGCTTTGTGGAATGCTAAAATAGTACGCCTCCAGGCCCATTTCTTTTTGCTTATTAACCTTTATCGCTTCAAGGTATCTGCACAAGAAAGCTAATCCTATGTCAGCCACAAAGTACCATTTACGCTGATTCTCAGGCCCATTTCATTAAGACATGCCACAGCCTTCAGCTCCTGTGATTCACATGGCAAATCCTTGCCAAGTGACTGCTACTATCCACACTTATCATCTGCTGTCTTCAGAGTCCTTTTTTTACTCTAAATGGTGAGCTTCTCTTAGCAACATCATGTCATGGTTAGGACCATGTGTTGTAGTATTGTAGGAATTTGTCTTTTACTCACCCAGAAATATGTCACTGGTTGCATTAAAGCTCATAATTGATTAGATTAAAAGGCATTAAAAGGCATACTTCTCAGCTGCCAAATGCAAGTAGTCAGATAAACACAGACAATAAGTGGGGTGATCCATTCCAAGAAAAATGCTAGAAAAATAACAAAGAAGGCCTCCAAGAGGACTTCAGTGCCTTGACCATAGTTGAGTTTGAAATCTAATGTCAACTGCTCCGACTTCTGCAGAGGATTCATGGACTGGACAGGAAGGATGCTCTCCCATTGTTTATTTGAGGGATTCCGCTAGAATTATGGGGTGACCACATGAATGTACTCTTATACACAAAGCCACCTGTTTCATTTTTGCAGAACTTCTAGATCTAGCCACCTTTGTCTGGTTAGTGAACATGGTTTAACCTTTACTGATCCTATTGTGTGCCATGAACTCAACTGGATACGGTTTATTTAGTCTAGTGTGAACGATGCACCTTGGTAACTTACATTGTCCTCCAGTTAACATAAACATAAATGCAGGAAATAGTGCCAGACAGTAGGGAGACCTTCTCTGCCTCTAAGGAGTTTGGAAAAACACACTTGATTATTTCCCCTTAAGGTAACCCATTCTTCAACCCATATGGTATGATATGGAAAAGCCACCAAGTGATACGGATGCTGCAGCTTATTCAAAAAAGCATGGGCTATTCTTAAGCCCTAAGACTGATGACATAAGGTCAATGGAGGGATACTCAAAAGTCCTAATAAATCAAAGAAGACTGACATTAAGAAAGGACGTAGGTGGATGAGAGAGAGCGCAAGAATCACCCTGAAACCAATGCATCAGAAGAAAGCCTTGATGTTTTAATACTTTAAATGGCAAACTGAAAAAATATGAAACAATATATCAAATATCTTAATGTGGAATGCAGCAATTTCACTTATATTCATTTTTGTTTAGGACTCCAAGGTATTGACAGGTAGAATGGTATCAAAATTCAAAGGAAAAACGGTCATACCACTGCTCCCCTCAGAGTATTTTGTGAAAAGGAATGTGTGCTTCCTTGGCTGTAGCTGAGTTAAACATTAAACATAGGGCCCCATGGCAATGCCTGTTGGACCTGGCCATAAAAAAACTAATAG